GAGATTGGTTTGCAGCGGTCGACCTGAAGGACGCGTACTTCATGTGTCGACCCTTCCGCACCACAGACCATTGCTGGGGTTCGCGTCCGAAGGACGAGCATATCAGTACGAGGTCCTGCCCTCCGGGCTGTCCCTGTTGCCCCGTGTCTTCACGTAAGGTACCCCTTGTTCCCTTAAGAGAACAGAACAGTCGCATTCTCAACTACCTCAACTACCAAAGGGCGGCAAGGATGCAAGGATGTACTAGTCCGCACGGACAACACAGCGACCGTTGCGTACATCAACCGACAAGGTGGTCTGCGCCTTATCGCAATATCGCAACTCGCCCGCCACCTCCTCCTCTGGAGTCAGAAGCATCTGAGGTCGCTTCGTGCTGTTCACATTCCTGGGCTGCTCAACCGGGCAGCCGACGAGCTGTCCCGAGCTACGCTCCCGGGAGAACAGCGACTCCATCCCCAGGCGGTCCAGCTGGTTTGGGGACTTTTCGGAGCCACTCAGGTAGACCTGTTTGCCTCTCCAGAAATCTCTCACTACCAGTTATTCTTCGCCCTGACCGAGGGAACACTCGGCATGGACGCACTGGCACACAGCTGGCCGCGGGGCCTTCGCAAGTATGCATTTCCCCCAGTGAGCCTTCTGGCACAGGTCAGTGAGGACGAGGAGCAGGTCCTGCTGGTGGCACCCTATTGGCCTTCCCGGACCTGGTTCCCGGAACTAATGCTCCTCGCGACAGCCCCTCCTTGGCCGATTCCTCTGAGGAAGGATTTACTGACTCAGAGACGGGGCACCCTTTGGCACCTGCGTCCAGACCTCTGGAAACTTCATGTCCGGTCCCTGGACGGGACGCGGAGGTTCTGAGTGGCCTACCCCAAGAGGTAGTTGACACCATCACTTCAGCGTGAGCACCGTCTACGAGACACGCCTACGCTTGAAGTGGAACCTGTTTATTGAGTGGTGTTCTTCTCGCCGAGATGCCCGATCGGAGTTGTGCTGTCTTTTTGCAACCCTTAACACATTCGCTAGATTCTATAGCCTTCGTGTGGAGCCG